CTACCCTGACTTTAAGCATGTTTTTAAACATTCGTGTTATTTCAAAAAATGTGCATGTGATAGATTGGCAAGGCCTTCGCAGACCATGAGGGGTCAGGATTTGAAGCCTTCAGATCCTGCCCCACCCCTGGGACCTGCAGCCCAGACTGGATCATGGCCCACTCTCCCTGGGGTCCTTATTCTATGGTAGTTCCCTCCAGTGGCAGTATGGGAGTGTGTTGGGGGGAGACTGGAGACAAATGGAACAGTCTGGAAAACTCCAGAAACCTTCTAATGCTATTAAAAACCAACCTGTGGGGCCAGCCAGTGGCACGGTGGTTAAGGTGGCTGGGTCCCACATGGATGACAGTGTGGCTCAAGTCATGGACCCAGTAGCTTGAAATACATGTTGGGTACGTGTGCTTGCATGCCCAAAATTCCAAGAGGAGAAATCGAGAAGAAAGGATGGCAGTGCGGCCATCCTCCCAGGGGTGATTTCTCACTTTCTCTGTCTTTGGCGAGCACACACATCCTATAGCAAAATTTCAAAAACAAAGCAAGGCAAAGACCCCGTGCCTGCTAGCTTCTGCCCTCTGAGCCCCTCCCTTCCTTCCTTTCTCCCTGTCTTTCTTTCTCCGTTCATCCAGTGGAAGTCATCACGCAGGCCTGGCCAGGGCAGTGACGGCGACCCTTGCAAAGTTGGCGTTAGTGGAGGGGCGGCAGCCTGGTGGGGTCAGAGGCCTTCTAGACAGGATGGAGCAGGTGGATAGTCTATCACGGAGCAGAGAGTCCGGGCTTCTCCCTGCTGAGGAAGAGGGAGCCATGGATGTCAGGGTCTCTCGCCTGCCCGCGCGCCGGCTCAGGGACGGCAGAGGTGTCGTCTTCCAGCCTCGGTTGCTCTCCTCTGCCTTTGGCGTTTATAGAGCTGCTCACCCGTCTGCGGCTCTCGCTGCCCAGGCACTCCCACCAGGGTTAGAGCTAGGCCCACGTGGTTCACCACCTCCTCCTCGGGTCCCGCTAGCCCTGGAGTGGCCACTTCCGCTGGAGCTGAATGCCAAATCGCCTTTATTGGCCGTTCGGCCATTGAGTATGTCCCTCTTCCCTGTCATAGTTGCCTCGGTTAAATTGCTCCGTTTGAAGTGCCTGGAGTGGCCTCTGTCTTTCTGACTGTTTGACTGTCACAGAGTGGCCTCACCTTCTGCTCTGCCCCTTCCTCCCTCTTCTCCATCCCCAACGCCCAGGCCTGCAAAAGATGGGAAGGTGAGAAGGAGCCAGGCTCGGACTCCTTCCAGGAAGAAGGAGTGATCCTACCTCCCACCTCGTGCCTCTGGGACTCCTTTGGGGACTGCTCAGAGGTCCTCCCATCCTGGCCTCCCACTCTTTTTGGCCCTTGCAAGTCCCCAGGCAAAGGTCACTCGGCCGGTCCCCTGCCTCCAGGCCACACTAGGAGCTGGCCAGATCTGGCTCTAGCAGATGCTCAGGCCCTGTCAGGGTCTGCCGTGTCCCAGCCCTCAGCGGCCGACTCCCCCTGTCACTGCTCCTCACCTAGAACCAAGGGAAATTGGGGGCCTTCTGGACTCTCAAATTCTTGGGGGTGCTGTCCCCAGGCCCCCATGAAGGTAGGAGGAGCCTGAGAACTCCTCCAGCCCCACCTCACCCTCTGTGGTACAGGCGGGGAAACCGAGGCTCAGCACAGCTTTGCTGGAAGTGTGAGTCTTCGGCAGGTTGGGGAGCAAAGGGGTGAGGTGTGTGTGGAGAGGGACCGAGGCCTCAGGGACATGTGTCCTACGCCAGCGCTCACAGACATCCCCGTGTCACTGGTATTCACGTGTTCCATAGTTTCAGCAATGAAGATGCACACACATGTACTCCCCACGGTAGAGGTAGCACCCAGCACCGCACACGGGCATGGAGTTGCACCCCAGGCACACTTGTCAGAACACACTCACAGCCACACACCTCCATGTGCACAACCTCATGTGTGCACACTCCGTGTCCCATAGCGTGCAGTTAACACTCCAGTGCACAATACCCCCACACACGAGAACCCACGTGGCACAGACTTGTGCGTTTACCCCCATGCACCTACGTGGGCACAGAGAAGAAGCTGACAACCCCCGGAGCTGCTCCCAGGGCCCACGCTGCATGCATAACCTCCCACCTGGGCCCCCACATGACACACACGTGCCACCCATCCATGTGCAAACACAGGTATGCAGACGCCATGCACACGGAGAGCCCCTTGGACGACCTCTGACCTCTCCTTGGTGAGGCCCTCCTCAAAGAATTGGAGCTACCTGGCCGGCCTCGGGAGCCAGGGAGCACTCTGCAGAACCCCCAGGCTGGGCCCTGAAATTTGGTGGCCCAGGTCCCCGGGGAGGCGAGAAGGCTCGGAGCTCAGAGTCCTGGGGCCAAAGTCTTGTTTGTAGACACTGGGCGGAAGTTGCACAAGCTCCCAACCGGCGGGGCAGGGGGCTCGGTTTATTGTCACTGGGTTCCCTTGGCAGCAGGCCCAGGAGCAGCAGCCAGTGACCTGGTTCTCTGGGCGAAGGCGAGGGCAAGGAAGTCGGCTCCTCCCTCCCCTACCCAGGAAGCCAGCAGCCCAGGAGGACTCTCCCGGTCCCAGCTGTGTGTGCTACATGCCCTGAGACTGAGATGTACAACTTAGACCAGCTTCTCCTTGTCCAGAGGGAGACAGAGCCCAGGGAGGCAGGGGATGGCCCAGAGCCACACGGCAAGCTGGCCTGGCAGGGCTCCACTATCTTTCTTTCTTTTTTAGAGAAAGATTTTAGCTATAGGGCATGTGCACTTGCTGGACACAGAGAGGGACAGAGAGACAGAAAGCGAGAAACCACCCCCCAGGGAGATGGCCACGCCACAATCCCTCTCCTCCATTCTCCTCTTGGGGTTTTGGGCACTCATGCACCTGCCCCCGACGTGAGTTTTAAGCTGCCAGATCCAGGGCTCAAATTAGAGTCGGCTATGTGGGAGTCCAACGTAACCACTATGCATCTGCTGGTTCCATCATTATCTTTCTAAATCTTTTGTCAAAAGAAAGCTCACATGGAAGCCCACAGTCCTACTAGGCGAGCAGGTGTAGGAGGGACCCAGAGTCTGCAGGGAGGAACCAGTTCCCATCCCATCAGGGCTGAGTCAGTTTATGAGAGGATCACACCCTATAGGCACGCACCAACTCCCTGAGCTACCAAAGCTACCCTGACTTTAAGCATGTTTTTAAACATTCGTGTTATTTCAAAAAATGTGCATGTGATAGATTGGCAAGGCCTTCGCAGACCATGAGGGGTCAGGATTTGAAGCCTTCAGATCCTGCCCCACCCCTGGGACCTGCAGCCCAGACTGGATCATGGCCCACTCTCCCTGGGGTCCTTATTCTATGGTAGTTCCCTCCAGTGGCAGTATGGGAGTGTGTTGGGGGGAGACTGGAGACAAATGGAACAGTCTGGAAAACTCCAGAAACCTTCTAATGCTATTAAAAACCAACCTGTGGGGCCAGCCAGTGGCACGGTGGTTAAGGTGGCTGGGTCCCACATGGATGACAGTGTGGCTCAAGTCATGGACCCAGTAGCTTGAAATACATGTTGGGTACGTGTGCTTGCATGCCCAAAATTCCAAGAGGAGAAATCGAGAAGAAAGGATGGCAGTGCGGCCATCCTCCCAGGGGTGATTTCTCACTTTCTCTGTCTTTGGCGAGCACACACATCCTATAGCAAAATTTCAAAAACAAAGCAAGGCAAAGACCCCGTGCCTGCTAGCTTCTGCCCTCTGAGCCCCTCCCTTCCTTCCTTTCTCCCTGTCTTTCTTTCTCCGTTCATCCAGTGGAAGTCATCACGCAGGCCTGGCCAGGGCAGTGACGGCGACCCTTGCAAAGTTGGCGTTAGTGGAGGGGCGGCAGCCTGGTGGGGTCAGAGGCCGTCTAGACAGGATGGAGCAGGTGGATAGTCTATCACGGAGCAGAGAGTCCGGGCTTCTCCCTGCTGAGGAAGAGGGAGCCATGGATGTGGGAAGGAGAGAGCGGAAGGACCCCGTGGGGTGGGACCGGAACCGAGCTGTCAGGGAGGGCACATGGTTTAAACGTATGTGTATGTTTGTGGAGAGGGAGAGAGAGGGAAGGCGGAAGGCATGTGTACATGTGTGTGTGTGTGTGTGTGTGTCCATGTGGATGCATTGGTGGGTATGTATAGGATTTGTGAATGTATAAGTAAATATAGGTTTGATGTGAGCACACATCAGGTTTAGTTCAGGTAAAAAACACACATGTAACCAGGTTAAAACTAGGGGTGTAAATGGGGTGAGGAGCAGGACATTCACTCATCCCCACACAACATTCTGGGCCCAGCAGTTGGCGTAATGGCTATGTTGCTGGACTCCCACGTAGACGATTGCGATTCGAGTTCCGGGTCCAGTGCCTTAAACTCAGAACGGGCATGTGTGCGTGCCCAAGATCCCGAGAGGAGAATGGAGGAGAAGGGATTGCTGCGTGACCATCCCCCCTGGGGAGTGATTTCTCACTTTCTGTCTCTACGTCTCTCTCTGTCTGTCTGGCGAGCGCACGTGCCCTATAGCAAAAACCTCTCAAAAAAAGAAAAAAAAAAACCTCTTATTTATACTCGCTAAAGGGACAGGAGCTTGACAGGGGAGAACTGGACGGTCAGTTCACCAGGGCCTGACGATTGCGGTGGTAACAGACAACACCCCGGGGCTGCCCCACTTGGGACGGTTCTGTGTCCGTGTCTGGAGACCTCCCGGCACACGTGTGCCCATGACCCGGGGGCTGGCTGAGCTGCAGGCGGTTCGTGATGTCGAGACTCTTGGGTGCTGTCTCTCTGTCTCTCTCGCTCATAGAACAAATAAACAAGGAAGCTTAAACAGAATGATCAGTGGTGCTAAGTCGGCGCCCCTGGGATTAACACCGGAGCCTGCCGGAAAGGGCTTCATTTGATCAAATCTGGTGTAATTTGAAAGTAAAAATAAATGATAGTAACAGATTGTAGCCTGTTGAAAACATAGATTGACATCAACTGTCACCAGGTAGGAGGCGATGAGAGGAGCCGCGCGTCCCCTCTGTGACGGTCCTGTCCAAGCAGGGGACGCGGGGTGGCCACGAGGGGGCGTCCTACCCAGCGCGACCCTGTTACCTTCGAAGGCACCAGGAGTGTCAAACTTCAGGCAGGACAGAGGAATCAGACCAGAGATGGAGACGAGGGAGGCGACAGGTGATGCCAGACTGAGTCCCTTTCTCTCAACGCCATCATGGGAACTGGTGACACTTCAATGGGACATCTGGGCGGAGGGCATATGCAGTTCTTTGTACCGTTCTTGCACATTTTCTGTAATTTGAAATAAAAAAAAAAAAACCCACAGTGTTTTAAACCCCACGTAGCATAACTCCATGAGGCGTTGAAGGCGGCTCCCGGGTGGGTGTCACCGAGGAAAAGAGGCGGCGGGTGTGTTACCTGCTGAGCTCACCTGCTGGTGAGGGTTCGGGGAAACCGGGGTGGGCATCTGAAAACCAAGCAAACAAAAACAGGAAAACTAGTGATTCCAGAAAAACAGAAAGATGAACAAGAGTATAAATGTAGTCAGAGAACTATCCATGGGAGCCGTCGACAATGCTGAACCCCAATACTTATCCAACCCAAAATTACACTGTGATCCCATAGAGAAGATGGTATGAGGAGAAGCAGGGGGCAGGGGTGTTCAGGAAGGAAATTCTAATCTTCCGAAGGAGGAAGGCAGTAGATTAGATCTAAAGCTGAAAATCAAGAAATAACAGTATAAGCATGTTGTTTATAAGCAGACAGGTAAACAACAATGAAATAACAGTATAAGCATGTTGTTTATAAGCAGACAGGTAAACAACAAAGAAATAACAGTATAAGCATGTTGTTTATAGCAGACAGGTAAACAACAATGAAATGGTTGTTTCCTCTTTAAAAAGGGATTGCCTTGGGGCCAGCAGGTGGTGTGGAGATTAAGGTGACTGGATCCCGCATGGTGAATTGAGCAGCTCGAGTCCCAGATCTGGCAGCGTGAAATTCATGCCAGGGACATGTGCATGTGTGCCCAGAGTCCCTAGAGGGAAATGGAGAAGGGATGTGAACATAGCCGCCTCCCCAGGAGGTGACTTCTTACTTTCCACCTCTGTCTCTGTCTCTCTCACTCCAGCACATGCACGTGGCCTATAGGCAAGTACTAAAATACACAAACAAGCAAATAAGTAAATAAATAGATAAAGGTATTGCTCTCTCCCTCTCTCTCTCTCTTTTTACAGAGAGATTTTTGCTATAGGTGTGGGCTTGCCCAAGAGACAGAGACACAGAAAGAGAGAGATTACCCCCTAGGCAGGATGGCCACGCTACAATCCCTTCTCCATTCTTCTCTCAGGATCTTGGCATGCAAGCACTGGCGCCTAGCATGAGTTTTAAGCTGCCGGGTCTGGGACTCAAACTGCGGTTGACTATGTAGGAGTCTAGTGTCCTAGTCATTACACCATCTGCTGGTCTCAAGTATTGCTCTATTTTTTAAAAAAAGAAAAAGCAGTCTCCTTTGATGACTGGGAATTGGGGCACAGACAGATTAAGCAAGAGATGACTATTTTTCATAAGTCTTTCAAGGGAAAGTGCACGTAAAACTTTAATGAAAGTAAAATAAAAATATAATGAAAAGATACATTTTGGGCTAAGCAGTAAATTTGGACAGTTTGTTGAGTTGACTATTTAACAAAATCTGCAATAGAATCTCCCAAATGCTAAAGTGCTGAGAAGACAGAAAATTAGTTTTTTAAAAATTCCCAGGCGATACTGTGAAAAGTATATTTATAGGACACCATTTAAGAGGAATAAATGCACCAGAAGAGTAAATGTCTTACGACCCTCAGCCTTGAGCAAATTGAAAGTCCTTGAATCACTGCTAGGAAGAATATGTATCCATTAGAAGAATGTTCTTTAAACAAAGTAAAAAGGAAAAAACCTTTAAAATTTTTCACAAAATCAATTAATGTGCTAATACAGGGCAGTAGATCTTCAATGAGCTTTCTGAGAAGTATCTTTTGCTAAACGGGCCTTTAGCAATTTCCTGTGCACCAAACCCAGACTCCTCCCAGGACCCAGGTCCTGGCCTGGGGCTGTGCAGGCCCATCTCACCCAGACCTGCTGCAGGCCCACTGGCAGCCTCCCTGGAGGAGGGGACTCGCGCTCCTTACCACAGCCCTTCGTGTGTAAACTCATAACTCCATTTTACAGAGAAGAAAATGGAGGCTTAAAGAAATGAATGAACTTGCCCAAAGCCTCATGGTCAAACTGTAGCCAGACTGGACTTGGTTTGTGGGTCAATAAACTCCAAGGCCAGGGTTCGCCCCTTTACTCTCTCACCTTGGATCCCCACCTGCTGGCGCCAGATCTAATTAGAGCCTCCCTGGTCCAGGAGAGTGCCTGGGAGGCGAGCGTGTCATTAGAGCCTGAGATGCTGGAAGCTCCCGCCATGTGTCATTACGGCTAATTACACGGGTTCAGGCTTCTGCGGGGGCTGATGGAGCCGGAGCGTCTCCACGCCCAAGTGGTCAGGGCCTTTCTGCAGCTAAGTGTCCGGACAGAGGCTGCTCATGGAGGCTGCTCATGCGCCCTCGCAACATGCACCCTACCGGTGGAGAAAGTCGGGCTCCAAGGCCCTCCTTGAGGCCCGTGGGGAGACCTGGTGGGAGGGGCTGTCTGTCCCTCCCTCTTGGTTTTCTTTTTAAGATTTTTACTATAGCATGTGCGCACTCACCAGAGAGAAAGAGACAGAGAGGGAAAGTGAGAAATACCCGCCATGGCCATGCTGTAATCCCTTCTCCATTCTCCTCTCAGGATTTTGGGCATGCACACACACACACACACACACACACACAGAGCATGATTTTCAAGCTGCTGGGTCCAGTACTCGAACCGCGTGTGAGATCGAGTGCCTTAACCACACCACCAGCTGGCCCTACCTCTTGGAATTTCTTAACCAGACTCCCACCCGGACAGGGGATGAAGTAGGAGGGGAGGCTGCATGAGCAGCCCCCAAGTCCCCTCATCCTGTCCTGGGACAGACAGACAGACAGGCAAACACACACAACGCAGAAACACAGTTCTGGGCCATATGCCTGAACCTTTGAATGAAGGGCTGCTTACACTTTCATCAGCCCCGTGGGCATCCACCTTGGGGGAAAGCAAGTGAGAAAGAATGCGGGACAGGGAGAGGATGCGGCCCCTGCCCCTCTCCCCGGCCCCTGGACGGGGGTTGGTAGAAGCAGTGGTATGCATGTGTTCTTTTAATAAGTGAGCGTTGAGTGATCCTCCTGCACCAGGCCCTGTTCTAGGCACTGAGATTGTAAAACGAGATCCCTGATCTCAAGGGGTTTGCTTTCTCAAGGGGAGAGGGGCAATAGCCACACAAATGTGTGATGCGTCTGATGGTGACAAGTGGGAAGAAGTAGGGTGAGGGCAAGGAGGGTGAGGAGGATCTGCCCAGCAGTGATGAGCTGGCCGGAGAAAGTCAGATCACCCCCTCTGACTGCCCCAGCCCAGAGAAACAATTCCCAGGGTAGATGAAAGAGCCCATCACTCCAGCTGCTTCCCCTTCCTCTTCTTTCTCTCCTAGTCTCCAATATTGTTTTTCCTTAAAAATTTAAATATTTAGGCCCGGCTAGTGGCATGGTGGTTAAGGTGGCTGGATCCCACATGGCCAACTGCATGGTTTGACTCCTGGGCTCAGCAGCTTGAGAAACACACCTGGCACATGTGTGTGCATGCCCAAAATCCCAAAAGGAGGAAAGAATGGAGGAGAAGGGATTATGGCGTGACCATGTCCCATGGGGGGTGCTTTCTCACTCCCCCATACTCCCATGAGTGCACATGCCATCTGGTAAAATTTTAAAAAATAATAATATTTAAAACATACAGAAAATTACATAACAAACGCCATATATCTGCTACTCATATGAAAAAAATTTGGATCTGTAAAGAAACAAATCAAAGCTTACAAATACAACCAAAACTTCTTGTATTAGTCAGGAAATGCTAGGTTATGCTGTAGTAACAAGCAACCCCAAATCTTGCTAGCCTTAAGCAACAAAGGTCTATTTCGCTCTTGCTTCCTGTATCCAGTGAGGGCTGACTAGAAAGGGCTGTATTCACAGCAGTCTCTTAGGGCCCCAGGCTGAAGGATGCATGACCGTTTTATTTTGCTGTGATCTCAGCAAAAAGCTTCAGCATTCACCCTGGAGGGAAGGGAGCATGAGGTGCTCACCCTCGGGCAGGGTAGGTGCAGGCCAGCTCCTGAGATCAAAGGCTTCCTTGTAAAATACCCATAAATTTTCCAATGAAACTATTATAAAGCATACAATTCCGTGGTGGTTAGTATACTCACAATGTCATGGAACCATCACAACTATCTAGCTGCAAAATATTTCCATCGCCTAGAAAGGAAACCCCAGTCCCATCAGCACTCATCCCTGTCTCCCCTTCCCCCTGCCCCTGGCAATCACTAACCAGATTTTGTTTTTTGTTTGTTTGTTTGTTTGTTTGTTTTGATTTGCCTATTTGGGGTCCTTTACATAAATGGAATCACACAATATTCAGTCTTTTGTAACTGACCTTTTTCACTGAGCGTGTGTTCCAGGTCCATCCGTGTTGCAGCATGTATCAGAACTTCGTTCCTTTTCTTGGCTGAATAATATTCCACTGTATGGCTGTGCCACATTTTGTTTATCTGTTCATTGATGAAAGGACATTTTCATCGTCTCTACCTTTGGGCTATTGTGAAACATGCCACCATGGACACTTGTGTACACATTCTTGTTTGAATATCTATTTTCAGATCTTCGGGGTGTCTACCTAGGAGTGGAACTGCTGGACTGAATAATAATTCCATTTGATTTATTGAGGAGACACCACCTCCTTGTGTCTTGCACCTTGAGCTTCTGGCTCACCCCTGGTACACACTCATCTGTTTATAACTTTCGTCCTGTGTCACCACCACGCCCACTTTCATGAGCAGCTTCAAGGCAGAGAAGTTAACGTGGACCATACATCTAGGCACCTCTGAGGGCCTGGGAGGGTGTCCTGTGAAGCTGGAGCATAGGGCGACACCAGCCGCTGGGGCTGGAGGAGTCAGTGAGGTCAGCACAGGGGAATCTTGGATGTCCCCATCAGGGGCTGGGACGTCACGCTGTTGGTCGCAGGGACCCTGTGCCAGACAAGCCCAGGGGGGCTCTTCCTAGCAGAGGGACAGGTTACAAACCCTGCCTTAAGATTTCAGAGGGCAGGAGCTGGACGGTGACGCAGCAGTAAATGCTATGCTTTGTGAGCCTGACCCACGTGGGAAGGTTCAGGGTTTACGTCCAGGGACCTCCCTGAGTATGCTGTGTGCATGTGAGCCCATGACCCGGGGTGGGCTGAAGCTGGGGTGATCACAGTGTCAGGACCCTGTTGGGGGTGCACACCGTCTCTCTCTCTCTCTCTCTGCCGGCCTCTCTCACTTATGGAAGACATAAATAAACCAGGGCCGGCCCATGACCTAGTGGTTAAGGTGGCTATATCTCATCCACATGGCCCACAGCATGGTTCAAGTCCCAGACCCAGTGGCTTGAAGAACATGCTGGGCATGTATGCATGTGTACCCAAAATCCCAAAAGGAAGGAGAGATGGAAGAGAATGGATTATGGGGACCAGCAGATGGTGTAGCAGGTATGTGGCTGGACTCCCACATGGCCGACTGCATTTGAGTCCCAGACCTGGTGGGTTTGAAAATCATACAGGAACACATATGCATGTGTGCCCATCTCCCCCCAAGATTCCAGGATGAGAATTCAGGAGAAGGGACTGAAGCATAGCCATCCCCCTGGGAGGGTGATTTCTCACTTTCCCTTTTACTGTGTCTGTCTCTTCCTCCGTGAGAGCACCCACCCTAAGGAAAAATAACTTCTAAGAAAAAAAAAGAACAGATTACGGTGTGACTTCGCCCCATGGGGGATACTTTTTCATCTTCCCTTTCAGTTTCTCTCCTGCGAGCACATGAGCCCTCTGGCAAATTAAATATATAAAAAAAGTTAAAAACGGGCTGGCAGGTGGTATGGTGATTAAGGCTCTGGACTTCCACATGACTAATTGTTTGAGTCCCGAACCTGGTGATTTGCTTTCTCATTTTCCCTTCCTCTCTCTCTCTGTCTCTCTCTGGTCAAAATAATAAAGAAATACATACTTCTTTTTGAAAAAATAAAAAGGCTGGCCTCTTAACCTTGTAGTTAAGAGCACTGAATCCCACATGGCCAGCCACAGTTCGAATCCCGGTGCCAACAACATGAGAAACATACCAGGCGTGTGTGCGCTCAATCCTGGTGGATGGAGAGGTAAGAGAAGAAAATTATGTGACTTGCCCCACTGTGAGTGCTTTCTCCCTCCCCCTCTCTGTCTCTTTGTCTCTCTCTGGCAAGTGAATACACCTTCTGGGGGGAAAAGAAAGAATTAAAAAAGGGAGAGAGACTTGCACGGGCACAGGGACCCCAGGAGAGTCACTCCGGCATCTGTCCTTACTCCACGCAGGAGCTGAAGAAGCCACCTCTGCCCCGGGGCACTCAGGTTCTCAGACTGGAAAGTGGCAATAATAAATTTCTCCTGGCAGTGGTAGGTGAGATTCTGGGTGTGAGCTGCCCTCGTCATCTACAAAGCTCAGGGCAGAAACTTCACCTGAAATGCCTGCTCAGGCGGCTCCGGGAACGAGGTAGGCCTTCGGGTAGACCCCGCCGTGGCTGGCTCCCGGAGGCATCCAAGAAATTGCAGAGTTTGGAATCCTCCAAGCCTTTTGGCACCAGGGGCTGGTTCCATGGAAGAAACGTTTTGGGTTTACGAGAGTGAGCAGCCTCAGCCCCTGCGCTGCGAGCAGTGGGGAGTGGCTGTCAGTACAGGTGAGTTGTTGCGCTCACGGCAGCCCAGTTCCTAACGGGCCATGGACCACTCCTGGTCCTTGGCCTGGCTGTTGGGGACTCCCTGCTATAAATCTGGAGACCCACTTATGTTACACACAGGGGAGCTGGCTGGGAAGGAGGCCAGCAGTGAAATCCCAGGGGTGGCTTTTGTGCTCAATAAGTCTGAACTTCCATGCACTGGGTTTGCAGTTCCGCCAAGTCCTGAAAAGTGTGAGTCCCAGTCACGTGAAGGTGGCTGTGGGAGGCTCAGGGGTCTCGGTTTTCGGAGACAGGGACTTTCTCCTGGACGATAATCTCATCCGTAAGCAGCCAGGGCCTCCCATGTGGGTTTGGAAGCAGGAGACGCAGAACAGCGGAGGAAAGGAGATCTGTGCTGTCCCCACCCACGGAGCCCGAAGGTCAAACCAGACTATGCTCTGGCAAGAAGTGGTAAACTCACCTGGGGAATTTGTAGGGTACCCAGGCTGGAGGGAAGAGGAGAGGGACTTTCTCTCCAGGGACAGAGATGTCTTCGACTCGGATTCATCCCCATCTGTGGAGGGAACCTCAGCCTCGCTGGTCAGTTGGTCCTCGTTACATCACTTAATTTCTCAACAATGCCTTCATTTACAGAAGCCAGCAAGGATCTCAAAGGTCACATGGCTTGTCCAGGTCACCGGACAAGTTAAGCACCAGGGCCAGGATTTGAACCCAGCTCTTATGTCTCAGGGTATGAGGCTGGCCCCACTAAGCCACCCAAGAATCCAAGAGTCGGTCATGTGGGCAGCCTCTGGATCAGAAGGGGCATTCTCCTTGGTCAGTGCTAAGTGACCCTGTCTCTTCCCTTTTTGATTTGTTCTGGAAAGTCCCTTGTCTTTTGTAGAACTGCCTCCTCGGATCCTGGAGTTGGCATCAAGGGCAGCCAAGGGCCGGACTGACTGGGAGGCCTGAGCTTGGGAGTGAGGGAGAAAGGCAGGGAGAAGCATCAGTCCATCCTGTGGCCCCCCTGGCCTGGGCCCCTGTGTGGCTGCAGTAAATCTGTTCATCGCCTGCCCTCCACCCCACCCTCTGCCCTGAGCTGGGGTCTAGCAGGCCTGGGGGAGCCCCAGAAGCTAAGACTGCCCTTGCCCAAACACGGCTGCCGGGGCTTTGGCGATACATGAGAAGAGCAAGGAGTCAGGGTTCAGACCTGGGTTCAAGCCCTAGTTCTGTCCCTTCCATGTGACCTTGGCCGGTCTCCCTCACCTCTTGGCACCTTGGTTTCTCCATCTGTAAAGTGGGACAGGCGCTCATCAGAGGGAGACACCAGCTGATACGAGAGCACGTGACCACGGGAGAGGTGCAGGAAGCTCCTCCCACGAAGAAATGGCGCTATGCAGAGCATCCCTGGCTCCTGGAAGCCCCTCCTAGGAAATAGGCCTGTGCCGCAAGTGCCAGCGCTCTCGCCTGGGAGACACAGGAGGGACCAGTCGTGGTCCTGGCTCTGTGGGAGCTCCCGGGCAGGAGGGCCGAGCAGGCCACACAGCACAGGAATAGGACTTGGCTGAGGGACATACAAGGGACCCAGGAGAGGGAAGGATGGCCCAGCCTGGGCTCAGGGATGACATCACAAGGGAACAGGCTTGCGGGAGGGTTCCAAATGTTTAATAACGTGTTTGCCATAGTCACTGACCAATCAGAAGGGACGGGCTGGGAGCAATCCACGGGACCCATCTGCTGATTGTTTATGCCCTAGCAAGGGGCATTTGGTCTGGGTCCTGGCAGACAAAGACCAGTGCTGACAGGCGGGGCTCCAGGCAGAGGGAAGAGCATGCACTAAAGCCTAATGAGGAAAAGCATGGGAGCGCATGGCCGGAGGGGCTGCCCTGTGGCCTAGTGGTTAAGGGGGCCAGAGCCCATATGGCTGGCCGTGTGGTTCAAAACCAGCAGCTTAAAAACACACCAAGTGTGTGTGCATGTGTCCCCGAAACCCCAGCAGGATGGGTAAGTGGAGGAGAAGGGATTGCAGTGTGACCATACCCCAGGGAAGGCGCTTTCTCACTCTTTCTCCCTCTCTGTTTCTGTCTCTCTCTGACGAGTGCGAGTGCGTGTACTCTCCTTCCCTCTGGCAAATTAACAAAACTCAAGAACTGAGGTGCCAGGTTCTAGCACAGGCCCTGCTGTTCCGCACTCTGCACTCGTGAGTAAGGCTCACACCCTCTCTGGGCCTCGGAGGCTCCACCGGCAGCCTGAGGAGTCTATTGATTCCACCCT